TCTATTTATTTGCCACATATGCAAAAAGAGACCCAAAGCATTGTGGATGCTCTAAATGCCTACATTAATAAAATTAGGCCGTGCATCGCACGGGTACTGCACTAGTTTAATATAAATATTTAGATAAATACTACATATTAAATGCTACCAATCACATACCCTTTTTCGTGGAATCCAAATCTCTATTTCAATTTCTACCATATCAGCCGCTTCAGACTGAGAGTGCTTGCCACACACATGAATCTTATTGAGATCTGATTTATATAGTTTATATAATTTTGTCTATGTCATTCAATCACAGCATTGTTTATATAGTTTTGTCTATGTCATTCAAGACTTGGATTTATTTACATGTAACATAGACAAAACTACCCGTACACTAAAGTATTAATATTACCTAGCAACTAATATATTCGTTCCATTTTGGTTCATCTCAAATTTAGCTAAAGTTTGAACTGTAGCAAGGAAGAGAATCCGTTTGATGAAACTACCACTTTAAACAAGGATTAATTGCATAAGAAACCCCAACGTTTTGTTTAATTGCAAATAGAACTCAACTTTTTCAACTTTGCAAAAAATATCAAACCTTTATTAAGTGTTGCAATTATGTCTCGAAAGCAGATTCCGGCCAATGCACACTGACATGGTCGATCGGAAAACTGACGTGGCACTAGAATTTTGACGTGGGGCAATCAATATTTTATACTCGATGATAAAATAATGATAACATTGACGGGACATTCCTACGTGTAAAGGACGTGACATGAAGTCTTACATGTAAAATGATGAGTCATCGAGTATAAAATATTGATTGCCACGTCGGAATTCTGGTATCACGTCAGTTTTTTGATCGACCATATCAGCGTGCATTGGTCGTATTCTGTTTTCGAGACAAAACTTATGCAATTAACCCTTTAAACAAATTCATATGGTAGGAAAAGCAGATATACATAACCTTGATACTTGTTATCCAATACATTATTCACTGATGAATATATTTCATTTAAGAACACACCAAGGGCCATTCTTTAGACTAATAACTATCTCCCTTGTACATGTAGAGCAGTGGCCATTAGCCATAAGAGGTCCCAATTTTCTTGGATCACCAACCATTCTCGAATATATTTTTCTATCCTTAGATACCTTTCTCTATATTTTTTGTTTCTTCTTTTACTTGCAAATTTTGTTTTTACTTATTTTTACTTTGATTTTATTCTTTCATGAGAGCGGTGTTCCATTTAATGGAAGCCGCTCTTTCAAATCTCACTAAACGTTGTTTATATTCATTACCCAATTTTTGTGTAATTTTAATAAAAAAAATTAGTTGCATTGCCACTCTCTTGGGGTCCAACCAAACATCAATCTACATGCAAATCATTTGCAATAAAGAGAGAGCAAGAAATGATAGATGATAATATGTATTCCCCATATCCCACAGACTGGTTAAAGGGTAGCATTATCGGGTCGGGCTCATACGGCACGGTCCACCTAGCCATCGACAACACAACCGGAGCTCTTTTTGTCGCCAAATCAGCAAGATCAGAATCCGCCGTCACTTCCCTAAAAAATGAGGCTCGTATCCTCGAAAAACTAAATTCTCGCCACATCATCAAGTGCATAGGAAAAGAATATTCCGAAAATGGGTACACCCTCTTCTTCGAGTACGTGCCGGGTGGCAGCTTATCTGACCTGTCCCGAAAGTTCGGAGGGACACTGGATGAAAAATTGATCCGACTCTACACTCGCGAAATCTTGCACGGTTTGAAGTATTTACACGATAACGGTATCGTTCATGCAGATATCAAGTGCAAGAACGTGTTTTTAAACCCTTTGGGTGAGATTAAATTGGCAGATTTCGGTTGCGCGCAGGTTGTGTGTAGTAGCGGTGAAAAGCCGTGTGGTGGGACCCCTCTGTGGATGGCTCCAGAGGTGCTGAGAAACGAGCATGTCGATTTTGCGGTGGATATATGGTCATTGGGGTGTACGGTGATCGAGATGGCAACAGGGAGGCCGCCGTGGGGAGCCAATGCATGGGATCGTAACCCGATGAGCGTGATGGTAAAGATAGCAAATGGGGATGGCCTGCCTGAGTTTCCGCGCGGTTTTTCAAACGAGGGGTTGGATTTTCTTTCCAAGTGTCTAAGGAGAGAACCGCGGGAGAGGTGGACGAGCGAGAGGCTTCTCGATCACCCTTTTATGAGGCCGGGGAAGGGATCAGGTCATGTGGTCTCTCCCACGAGTGTTTTGGATGTGGCGATCAGTTACAATTCAGATGATGATGATGATGATGGTGATGATAGTGATTTGTGTGATGATGAGTTTGTGAGTAGAGTTTCTTTGCTGGAGAAGTTATCTTTTCATGAGAAGAAATTTTTGGGGAAGGATTTGGAGGGATCAGACGATTGGATCACTGTTAGGAGTAGATAACTTTTTGTAGGAATAAGTTATGGGAAAATACTACGGTACCGTTACAGAACCATTCCGTCGGATTTATAACCGTTAGATCATCATGTAACCATCAGAGATAGTTGACCTAACGATTTTAAGTTTCAACAGAATGATTCTGTAACGGGACCGTATAATCTCCGAGGTGTTTGCAAACACTTTGGAGAGGAAAAAATGAATATATTCTCGACTACTATATAACCAAAATGGGGTTGTAAAATTTTTTGCCCCGAAAATTGAAATTGCTTATGTAGTAACGAGTAGGCAACTTGTGCAATGCGAGCTCTTTTTCTTGATTTTTTGTACAACTTGATTTAAATGTAATTATTTTTAATTAGACATCTTATTCATTGTGGAAATAAAAAAGGTACAAAATATGAAAATCACATATTATTGAAAGGTAGATTTAATATAATTTTTTTGAATAAAATACTCATCATGAAAATAATAAAAAATTATGAAAATGAAAATTATATATTATTGTACACTTTATTATACACAACATTCTTGTCGTGAATGATGACAATAATTAATTTTTACAGGCTGATATTGTTCTCGACTTCGTATTATATAATAGTATACAAAGAATCCCACTCGAAATTGTTGATGAAAATGGAACCATTAACGGTCGAATAATACAAGTAATTCGGCCACCCTATAAAGAATACACTTGCATAAGCACACTAATATAAATTCATGTAATATAATTCGATTATTAATATAATAATCTACAAACACATACCTCAAAATCATGAAATATGATTTCTAGAACATTCTTGTAAGTGTGAGCTTTGATTGTCCTTGGAAATATTCGAACAATTTAGAGTTCGATCATTCGTTTGTTTGTCCTTTTGATGTCTTTGATGAGTCACCATGATTTTGTTATTTTGTTGTGCTAATAACAAACAACTTTATGAGTAGGTATTGTAGTTCCTTGTGTTGTGTGTTTCATGAAGTCCTTAATGAATTCAGTCTAACTTATATATACATAAACAATAAGGTGTTGAGAAAGAAAGAATCGCAATATTCTGTTTTTTTGTTGGATAATTCTACGGCGAGATCATTACTTTTTATTAGTCTCGTACACACCTAGCATCAGGTATGCCTGAAATGGATGTCAAGTGTTCACAATGCTTTGTGTAAATACTAAATTGTCTTTACTTAAAGAAATTTGTAATGAATTTACATATAATATCTTTAAGTATTTATTTCTTAACATGGACCCTAGATATAATTACATATTTCAGTTAAACTACCAAAAAATCTTAAATTTCATATGATTTTTGTTGATGTATGAAATTTTATCAACATATGATATTTGTTGAATTATTTGTATATATTGAATTTCTGTGTGATTGAAAGAAAAATTGAGGAAACTTGAAGAAACGAAGTTGTTCATCAAGATAAGGGCCATTCCCCTTTGTTTTCTTTTTTGTTGTTCGAGGAAAATATCAGGAGAGAGAAATCCTCCCTGCAAGGCACTGCTTCCTGTTTTGCAGATAAAGAAGAAAAAAAAAAAAAAGAAAAACACCTCTGACCCCTATCCTTGTCCATCATAGGGGCTTTATATATGTTGATTTTTGGTGGGCCAATATTATCACAAGTGAATATTTATCTATGGGCCTTAATACTAAAAATAAGATAAAAATAAGATAATTAATGTAATTTGATCAACATATCCACGTGTAACATTTTTTATTAGTCGAGGCCAAATTGGGTATCAAAAAGAGGCCCCCGACTTTAGGACACGTTCTGAACAGAACTGTTCTGAAGTCGCGATTATAATCGATTTGGCGGACATTTGCTTTATAATTTGTCTGCGCTTGAGGCTCTTTACGCTGTGATAAATGATGTATCGACCTTATCTGGGCGCTTTGGGACCCGTGGACGTTTTGTTGATCGTGTTCAGGTTTTATCCTGACGTATTGACGTTAACTGCAATTTTTATTCTGACGAATGGAGTAGATGGCGTGGATAATAAATTTTTAGAATTGCTATATGAATGGGGCCTGAATGGCCTTGTCGGGTAATTTGGTACCTGTTTTTTGCATTTTTATGTAATGTGAAGCATTTGATGGATTTGTTTCTGTTATGGAGATAATGATATGGATTTTTGTGGGCACTCAGGCCTCTGGAATTGTTAACTTATCTGCGATTGTGTCGTATTGGCAACGGCGCGATTTTTTGTTTTTCGTGATTTTTTTCTTTGTAATGTGGACCTGATTGGATAATTCAGTATCCGATCGATCTTTTAGTATTTAAGGAATATAGCCATCCCAGTCGGTAAGGTCTTATAATGTATGCCTTATAAATGTGGGTCCAAACCCATAAAATAGTTCGATTGATTTTTTGTAGATGTCAGGATATATAATGAGCACGTGCAGTAAGTGATTAGTGCACGATAAATGATGTTACCTCGATACTTTGTCGAGTCTGACATTTTCTGCCGGTAGGTGTTGTGCCTTGTCGAAATATTGGTCGTACCAAATCAACTTCAAAATTTGGTGTAAGCACGGGCATGATCTCCCGTTTCTGAGTTCGATATTGTATTTGAAGGAACGTCGGTATTGTTTGTTTCTGACTTATGAAATCGGCATTTTGTGGCCTTACCAAACCTCGGGGGTTTGATTAACTTAGGAATTACTGGCACCGAACCTCGACAAGATTCGATTAAAGAACGGGCCCACTGGATTGAAGAACTCGATAAAGGAAAGGACTTTAGCCTTACAGATCATCTTCAGGATTCAGTGATAGTGAAGACTTCAGTCCACTGAATTGCAAAACTCGGTAAAGGAACGGATCTTCGGTCTACCAAATTGAAAAACTTGGTGAAAGTAAAGGCTTTGACCCTGCGGAACTGATGGAACGGGTATCAACCTTACCAAATTGAAGAACATGGTGTAGATGAAGGTTTCACTTTGCCGAATTGAAGAACTCGGCTAAGGAGCTGTGGAAAATGTGTCCTACCGAATTGAAGAACTTGGATAAGGAGCTGTGGAAATTGGGTCATGCCGAATTGAAGAATTCGGCTAAGGAACTGTGGAAATTGGGTCCTGCTTGTTGGGATCTATGAGGATCTCATTATGTAAAAGTTACGAATTCAATAGCAAACGTAAACCTATGTGCAGCGGATCTAAACGTTTGACGTAGGAAACTTACGACTTAAAATTTTCTGAATCTGGCAGATTCGGATTAACCGAGAACAACACACGAACGGATGGCGGGGATAGACCGGGTCAGGTCGCGTGCGGTGGTTGGGGTCGGCCGGTGGGTCGTTTCATCGTGATCAACAGGGCTGGGCGTCGCGCGGCGGTCGGCGACGGTCCTCGGCTGCTCGGAGTCGGCGGTCGCAGCCTTCGTGTCGTGGTCCGTCGGCTCCAATTGATCTCCGGAGTTGATGAATATATATCTCAGTTACCACGAAATCTTCTACTGTATAACTCGTACACCTCTTCAACTTGTATCGGTGGAGCAACAAGAAGAAGGTAAAGCTCGAACAGAAAATTGAGAGAGAAGAGAGAGAGAGAGAGAGAGAGAGAGACGCTAGGCGTGTTTGTTATTTTCACGTAGGAGAATTCTGATATCTTTTTCTCTTTTCAATGAGCCTAATGATGTATATATAGGGCTACATTAGGGACCCATTGGAGATGAAATTCGTTCACATCCTATGGGGCGATGCCTCCATAGGGTACATAGCAATTTTTCTATATGGAGAGAGAGAGAGAGAGAGTAATGGAGTAGGTTATCATGATTAATAAATAGCAACAATTTTAATGAGAGGGTTGGTTATTTCACAAAGATACTAGTTTTAACCTGTGCATTTGCACAAAAAGCGACATAGTAGAGGATAATGTATTTGCATGGAAAGCGATATAGTAGTAAAAAAAAATATAGACAAAACTAAAAATCATAGCTTAATCATTGAGAAAAAAATAATAAGAAAGTGAATCTAATTATTATTAAATAGTTCTTGATATACAACATTCACGATTTTCGTATCGTCAATTTTTCCTTCACCAGAAATCATTATCTTCAAACTCCTCCGATTCGTGACTCTGGAAAGATCCACGCACAACTGCCCATGACTGAATACAACTCTTCATTAGTAAGACGACGTGCCACAGAGACTGACCTTCACTATTATTGATTGTCATAGCATATTAAACCATGACTGGAAATTGTATGCGCTAAAACTTGAACGGTACCCTTAAATCAGATGGTATGATGTGAGCTTAGGAATAGGGACCTTATCACCAGCTTTGCCGATTAAAATTATGCATTCGAGGACATGACTGTTGAGTTTAGTAATAATCAAACGTGTATCATTGCACAATCCCGTGGAGTGATCAATGTTTCTGGACAGCATCACTAGAGTGCTGATCTTGAATTCCAATTTATTATTTGGAAGTCTGGAGCACTTACCCCATTGAAAAATTCAAGAGTATGAATATTTTGAAGACCAACGTCTGACTTGCAAGGGTGTAAGAACTCAAATAAGTCCTTCTATTAAATGAGTTCAAAGAGCTCATGCACTCGTTAATGGGCTCAACAACATCAATTGTGGAAGCAAGTATGACTCTGTCCTGGAGACATCTAAGATCGTCGCCTGAACTCCTAAGCATCGGGTAAGTACTCTAAAAAATAGTAGCAGTAGGATTCCCTTGTGGTTTTAGAAAAATATCATCGGAAATGTCGATATCGGCACAATCGTCGTTCGATCCACTAACTGTAATGTCGCCAATACTTGCAAGCCACTCCGAAAAGTGCCTCAATTCATTATACTCATCATCCCCACCAAGGTTTCGTAACCTCATCTTCCGAGTTAGTCCTAGACCAACACAAGTGCGCCATATGTAATGGGCAGATGTTTAGGTATTAATTCTATTACAATAAGATATCTACATTAATTTTATCTTATTTTTTAGATGTTCACACAACTATATAATATTAGATTCCATTATATTATGCAACCATTAAATTTA